TCTGTCCAGAGGAACTGGCTGGCCACTGTGGGAGACAGGATGCTGGACTAGGTGGACCACTGGTCTGATCCAGCAGGGCTCTCCTTATGTTCTTAGGGGCACTGTGTTCATATAATGTAGATTATCAGCCCTCTTTAACCAGGGCCCAGATAATTCTGCATGATCTGTTGCTGTCCATACATACCCATATTCTTGGGTCACCTCGACAGGTCCGGATCGGTGTGCCCCACTGCTGGAGGTGTGGTGGGTGGTCTTTTCAGCCATAGCACTGAGGCTGTGGAGCTCCCTCCCAAGGGAGATCCTCCGGGCTCTTTGTGCTTTTAGATTGTGGATGAGAATGGTGCTGTTCCAGGAGGTTACTGTTTATCTGATCCTTATGGCAGCTCACTGCACGAGCTGTTTTCCCCAACCGTGCTTTGCTTGCTCTTGGGGTTGTCTTTTTGTGCAGTAATTCTATGTGTGTGGGTGTGTGTGTGTGTGTGTGTGTGTGTGTGTGTGTGTGTGTGTGTTTAATACACTAAACTGTTTGGGAGCAAAAAATAGAACATACATAGTTTAAAGAAACGCACCATCAAGCACATTGCGCACGGCTATGTTATCAGCAGAACGCCTCTTAACCTCTAGGAAGTCGGCTGATCTGCCTTTCTGCCAAGTCACAAGTTTAGTGTGGAGTTGTTGCTGTGTGTTTACAGTTGTCTGCCACTTCAAAGGTTTTGCCCAGTTCTGTCTTGCCCTAGCTGCAGTGCTCCTGACACTTATAGTTCAGAGCCCTGTCCCTAGAATAGACTGTGACTTCTAACCCACTTCTAAGACCCCTGTGGCTAATGCGCTTGGCATTTGGGGAGAAGGGGGTGTAATGCACAATCTGATGCAGCCTGTTGAGCCACAACTTCCAGTAAACCGACTCCTGTGTGAGTAGCAAAATTGTTATGTCGGATCAGCGCAGTTGTTGTGAAATGGTTTGTTGGTGTTCTGATGGCTTTCATGGTCTGTCATCAGCATGGCTAGAAAAACACCGAATGGGACTTCAAGTCTAAAGCGGTACCATGTTATCCGCCATGGGTTCTGGCTTTTTCTCATGGCCTCCAGATACATCCCCCTTCATTTTTTCACAGACACACCCCAAATCAAGTTGAATATTTCAGAAGTGGCTCGTTTGACCCCTGAGATGTACCGGGAGGAAAAGGCTCATTAGCTTTTTCAGGGGGCTGTGGATAGCACCAGGTTTCCTTATTATATAATCATACAAGAAGGTGTAGTGTGAAAGCTTGAATATTGCACATAAAATAAAGAGTTTTATTCAGAGGACTTCACTTTCAAAGATCAGCTATTTTTTGCTGGATACGTGTATTCCTTGCAATCACACTAGACCTGGGGTGTCAAACATGCGGTCTGGGGGCTGGATCAGGCCCCCGGAGGGCTTCTGTCAGGCCCGCAGTGGAACTGGCTGTCTTCTGCTTCTTCTTCCAGTTCTGCTGCTGCTTACAGATAGACACCTGAACAGCATACTTTCTAGATTGCAACAGGACAGACATTTTGATGCAATCATTCAGAGCAAGAGATGTCAGTTATCAGACACTGTTAAATAAACAAAATATTGCAAGAGTGCTGATGTTTTAAGCATGTTTTTATTTTAAGTTAAAAAACCCACCCTTTTTCTTTGCGTCCTTTATAAAGTTTCTATCTCTGCTACCTGACATTACATTTTATGACCCACAAGAGAGACCTCGCATAGACGTGCAGGCTCAGTGACTCCAACCCCCAGTTTTAAAATTTTGGATTCTCGTTAAGCAGCTGGCTCTCACCAACCCAACGTTTGCCCTAGCCGGTGGCACTAAGGTCGTGTTGGCCGAAGAGCCATTTTTATCTTGCCATAGGCTAGTAATGGCAAATCCCCATTAAGAACTGGTATTGGGCAGGCAGTTATAGGAATTGCTAAAGGACATAGCAGGGAGAAAGGGTCAGAGGGTAGCCATGTGAGTCTGTAGTAGACCAGGTAGATTTGAGTCCGGAAGCACCTGAGTAGCACCTGCCAGACTCAGATCTAAATGGGAGAAAGGACTTTGCCAGCCTGTGAACTTGCACATTGTCTCGGCCACCAGAAGATGGCAGTACAGCCATTTATGTCATAGAGATTTGTCGAGGAGTGTAGTATTTCGAGTGCTGTCTTGTCATGCTGAGTTGATCTTAGGCAGGGGTGGCCGAACTTGCTTAATGTAAGAGCCACGTAGAATAGACGTCAGGTGTTTGGGAGCCGCTGGGCGTGAACAAATCTTACACACACGGTTTTGTTGGGAAATAGGCAGATTTGCTTTTTATTAACATTAAACGAGACGGCCAAAAAAAAAAAAAAACCAAAAGGGGGTAAAAACAGATATTGATAATGATATCGATTGGTCCAATGATGCTTATTTGTTTGCCGATGATATCGATCTGTCTGAGAGACAGAAAGCGAGAGAGGTGGAAAGAAAGAGCCAGTTTGGTGTAGTGGTTAAGTGTGCGGACTCTAATCTGGGAGAACCAGGTTTGATTCCCCACTCCTCCACTTGCAGCTGCTGGTGTGACCTTGGGTCAGTCACAAGCTCTGGCACAGCTGTCCTTGAAAAAGAGCCGTTTGTGTCAGAGCTCTCTCAGCCCCACCCACCTCACAGGGTGTCTGTTGTGGGGAGGGGAAGGGAAAGGAGTTTGTAAGCCGCTCTGAGACTCCTTTGGGTAGTGAAGGGCAGGATATAAATCCAGTCTCTTCTCTTCTTCTTCTTCAAATGTGTTCTCCAACCTCCCCCCCCCATACCTCTAAGCCAGCTGGGGGGGGTGGGCTTTGAGAATCCATTTAGAGCTAAAGTTGCTTTCTTTCTCTGCTCCACCCTACCTCATGCCTACCCATGGAGGGAGACACTGACTGGGGAAGGGAAGACCGAACAGGGAGGCACGCCTCCCCTTTCCTTCCCTAGCCGCCCTGCTGGGAGCTGCACAATACGTGCGAAAGAGCTGCATGTGGCTCCCGAGTCGTAGTTTGGCCACCCCTGATCTACAGGCTGAGGGAGGTGATCTTTGATAGGCCTTGAAAGATGCGGCAGGCTGCTAGGACATCCCCCCCCCCCGAACACTGACTTGAAGCGGTTCCTGCTTCAGGAATAGCCCTTGACGGAGGCACCGCCCCCTGTAGAATTTCAGTCTGGACGCTTGCTTTTCACGGTGTTGATAGCGATGCCCCGAGTCGGATTTGTCCGAACGCTGAGAGTCCACTGAACTCATTCTGCCAGATCTGCTGCAGTTTCAAGCAGAACTGTACACAGTAGAGCAAAATTTGAGTCCAGCACCACCTTAGAGACCAACAAAAATAAACCAGGGTGGAGGCTTTCTTGAGAAACTTCAGTGAGCTTCTGGACATTTTTGTTGGTCTTCAAGCAGCTACTGGACTTTAGTTTTGTTTCACTACTACAGACTACCCCGACTTAGATAGCTCAAGTTAGCCTGATCTTGTCAGATCTCAGAAGCTAAACAGATCTTGTCAGATCTCAGAAGCCCTGGGAAGTATTTGGATGGGAAACCTCTAGAGTTGTTATGTGGAGGCAGGCAATGGCAGACCACCTCTGAACGTCTCTTGCCTTAAAAACCCTACAGCCAGGGTGTCAAACTCATTTGTTATGAGTGCCGGATCTGTCCTAAATGAGACCTTGTTGGGCTGGTCTATGTGTGTCATAAAATGTAATGCCAGGTAACGGAGATATACACTTTATAAAGGACACAAACACAAAGGTTTTTTTTACTTGAAATAAAAACATGCTTAAAACATTAGCACTCTTGCAACATTTTGTTTATTTAACAGTGTCTAATAATTGACACCTCTTGCTCTGAATTATTGCATCAAAATGTCTGTGCTGTTGCAGTCTCGAGTATGCTGTTCAGGTGTGTATCTGTAAGCTGCGAACCTACGATGACGCAGCAGCAGCAGAACTGGAAGAAGCAGCAGAAGACAGCCAGTTCCACTGTGGGCCTGAAAGAAGCCCTCCGGGGGCCTGATCTGGCCCCCGGGCCGAATGTTTGACACCCCTGCCCTACAGGGTCGCCATAAGTCTACTTTGACCTGACAGCAAAAGACAAGAACAACTACAAGCTAACACAGCTCCCCGTCTGAAGGTGGAAAGAATTTGACACCGGAAAGAATTAATTTCTGTTTTAAGAAGCAGATTCTCAGCCCTCTGTGTTAGAGTTGCAAAATCAGACAGGGACTTTTGCAAAGGAGCTCTGACATGAGAGAATATATGCAAGATATCTGGATACAGAGCAAGAGAAGGGCCTGTATATGGCTGTGCTGGTGTGTCTTGAAGGGCCTGGGCTCTTTGCAGGTGTTGCGCATGCACTCCCAAATGTATCCATGTTTCTCTGTGAGCAGGAGGGGCAAAGAGTGGTTCGGTGCTGTGTCAGTTCCTCCATCATTCAGTTTCTGTGCTAGGTTGTCTGCCGCATTCTCCGCGTGGTCGTAGAAGCACTATAGCCCTTTCCCATAGGAGTCGAGCACCCACCCTAGGGAGAGGCTGTGGCTCAGTGCTAGAGCATCTGCTTGGCATGCAAAAGGTCCCAGGTTCAACCCCCAACATTGCCAGTTAAAAGGGTCAAGTAGTAGAAGGTATGGAACAATCTCTCAGACACTGCAGAATCTCTTTCAGTATCAACAGGGGACGCTGATCTTGATGGACGAGTGGCCTGGTTTGGTGTAAAGCACCTTCTTTCGTTCACAGTCACCCCGTGTGATAACTGCCGTCATTGGAACATTGCTGGGAATGTATCCAAGTTGATTTGGGGGCAATGAGCATGGTGGTTTCTTGACCTATCAGCTTCTAGGGGGCAGCAGAGCTGTCTGCATGGGGGAAGCCCCTTTCTCCTCCAGTGTGGTTTTCCCAAGTGGTACCCTGAAGAGAAGGCTACAGGGGGGGTTTCCCTGGCTTGGGAACGGGGATGCCGTCTAACTTGCTGACATCTGCCCCTCCTGTCCCCAGCAGGAGCACAGGTTCGAGAAGGCACTGAGAGAGAAGAAAGGGTTCATCATAAAACAGATGAAGGAAGACGGGGCCTGCTTGTTCCGGGCTGTGGGTAAGTCCTGCCTCCTGACAGCTCTTCCCTTTGCAGAGGTTGGACCGCAGCAGGCAGCACGGGAGCTGGGTGGCAAAAAAAAACAAAACACCAGCCCCCCCAAGGTCTCTCCAAAGTCCCCCTAGGCAAACCAGTGTTTGATCTCAGGGTTCGATCGTGGATCTGGCAGTTGTGTTTAGCGTTTGGCAACATTTTGGGACTAGGACACCTGCGCGGGGTGTGTGCAGAAATCTCAGCACACACACCCCTGTTTCCAGGGGTATGGCGTGCCCCTCTTTGGCATCTTTGCTGGCCAAGCCTGGGTTCCGGGCAGCCGCTCAGAATGGGATCAGAGAGATGCCACATTCAGCCAGTCAGGACGGGGGAAACAAGGGGGCTGCCGGTGACCACGTGGGTCCAGCAGGGCCGTGTGAAGGGAAGGGACAGTGGAGGTGCATGAGTGGCCACGGGTGGCGGTGGCAGCCACCAGAAGCCGTTTGAGCGTGGCCCTCCAAAAACCGCCTCCGCCGCTCGTTTGACGGATTGGCAGACTTTGTATCTTGCCTTCCTGCCTAGTCGTGGCCTCCACGGCAACTGACAGTGAAGACAGTGAAAACAATGAAGACCAAAACTACCGTACAGATCTAAAATAAGGAAAACGCTGGTTAAAATACAGGGCAGGAAGGGAGGGACCATTGAGGGAATGCCAGGTGAAGCATCGAAGGGAATGCCAGGTGAAAAGTCTTCACCAGTCGGGGGAACGGGGCCAGGTGGATGTCCCCATGGAGAGAGTTATCTAGGTTTGGTCTCAGAGGTTATCCGTGTCGGTCTGCCACAGAACAAGCAGATTCAAGCCCGGCAGGATCTTAGAGACCAACAAGAGGTTCAGGGCGTAAGCTTCCAGGAGTCCAAGCTCCCTTCGCCAGGGGGCCACCACCAAGAAGGCGCTTTCTCTGCTTGCCACCCGACTAGCCTCAGACGGCAGGAGCAGCAGACGCAGGGCCTCAGGCATTGTATTTTATTTCACTTCGTGAGATTTTTATCACACTCCTCCGCCCTCGTATGCAACTGTGGCAGTTGGGTAGGTTCCTATGGGGAGTTGGCGGTCCACCCATACACAGCGTCTCTATTACATTCGGCTTAGTGAATGCTGGGTAAGGAGAAGAGGACAGCACTCTGTAGGAAGGGTTCTCGCCCAGTCAGCAAAATTGTGTGTTTCATGTTGTCGATTTGCTTGCAACTTTGGGACCCCTGCAAATGAATTGCCTCCGAAATGTCCCGTCGTTCACAGACCTGCTGAAGTCTTCCAAACCAAGGGCCGCCGTGGCTTCCTTGGTGAATGTGAATCCGTCTCGCGTTGGGCCTTTGTCTTTTCCTGCCGCCTCCCACTTCTCCCAGCAAAATTCTCAAGTGTGAGTAGTCCGTAAAACAGAGGGTGAGATGTATTCTGTAAACAGGGGCCCCAGTGCTTTTTAAGCTGAAGTTTCCTTTGTCTCAGGGGAGGCCTTGAAGATGCAAAAGCTGAGTGACCCTCCATTATTTTTTTTAAATGCCATTTTAAAAGGTTCCATTCTGTTCCGTCCGGTTCCCCACACACACGCCTTCAACCGCCTCTCTGACATTTCTGCTTGGATATCTCATCGCTATCTCGGGCAGATACGTGCAAGATTACACTTCTTATCTTCCCTCCAAAGCTGTTCTCTCACTGATGCTTCCATGTTGTCAAGGATTGTACTGCTCACTTTCTTGACCAGACCACAAGTGCTGGCTGTCTTTGACGTTTTGTTCACATTTGCTCCCCACACGCCGTCTGTTTCCAAGGCGTATCATCTTTCCTCATTGTGAATAACAGGGTCAGTTTGGTGTAGTGGTTAGGAGTGCGGGCTCTAATCTGGGAGAGCCAGGTTTGATTCCCCACGCCTCCACCTGCAGCTGCTGGATGACCTTGGGTCAGTCACAGTTCTCTCAGAGCAGTTCCTGTAAGAGCTCTCTCAGCCCCGCCTCCCTCACAGGGTGTCCGTTGTGGGGAGGGGAAGGGAAAGGAGTTTGTAAGCCGCTCTGAGACTCCGAGTGAAGGGGAGGGGTATAAATCCAATCTCTTCTTCATCTCTTCTTCTCCGTTCCTTCAGCTAAAACCATATTTCAAACTCTCTATGTATCTCACAAAGACTGTTGCAGCCTTATCCACTCTGCCCTCCCCTGGCCATACCTCGCTCGTCTCTCCTCTCTCCAGAACTCTGCCACTAAGACAAAATCCTTTACTCTTCTCATAATTCATGCCATGGGCTGGACTCAACAGTCTTGTCAGCAAAAGATGCTCCCCTCCCCTTCAGCGGTCCTTTCCAAGCTTGGAAAAACAGATTTCTGGTTTTGCGTGTCCTCAAAGCAGACTAACCTCCATCCAGGTCATGGGGGAGCTTCAGTGGGGGGGTGGAGAAGGGTGTGACATTGCCATGGCCACCCCTCTTCCATCAGAGCAACTCCCCTCAGGTTTGAGGGGCGATTCTGGTCTCCTTCCCACCTCCTCAGTGCATCCTCCTGGCTTGTACGGTCCGTGTAGATCTCCAGCCCCAGAAATCAACTTTCTGGGGGGTTGAAAAGAATTTTTTTGGGGGGGGGAGGAAAGATCTGTGATCCTCGTGCCCAGGGATTGCTGTATCCAACCCCCCTCCCCCGTTCCTTAAACCCCCCTTAAACGGGCTTTGTATCCCGTTCCCTACCCAGCACGAGCTCCTTCCCCTTCAGGGTCCTCTAGGACGGCTCCACCCTTCTCGTTCCTTTTGTTCCCGGGGCTGGAGCTGAAGGCCGTGTCCACACATTTCCCCCCTGCAGACCCTGTGACGTTCTTTCTCAAGGTCCACCCCAGGAAGCCACATTTTTGTGGCAATCGGTGGGTTGCAAAGAGAGCGGAGAGGCAGGGAAATTTCATTCCATTGACAAAAAAATGTACCCAAGCTTCACCCTTCAGTGTCTGCGGGCTTTCACTCCTCCAACTCAACCAGCCTCAGACCCATAACGGCCTCTCTCTTCTTTCAGTGTCTCCATCCATTCTGTTGCATATGCCTCAAACCCCGTTCTAGATGGGTCTCTCTTCTCTCTTCATAAGAACATAAGAGATGCCAATGTTGGATCAGGCCAAAGGCCCATCCAGTCCAACACTCTGTATCCCACAGTGGCCAGAAATACCAGGTGCCATCAGGAGGTCCACCAGTGGGGCCACTTCCTTCAAATCTCTCCTCCCCACCCCCTGTAGAAACAAAGCAGGTGCAACTGCAGGTGCCCTTGGGCTTCCTATTATGCTTGCACATCATTCCTCCCCTTCCTCTGTCAAAAGTCAGGCTATAAGGTCCTCTCACCCTGTTTTTAACGCCTTAAGGTGCTGCAAATAGAGAGAGATGGCCTGGTTCAGGTTCTTGTAGAAGTCCGGGCTGAAGACCAATGCTCCCTCTAAGCTATAGAGTCCAGTTTGGTGTAGTGGTTAAGTGCACGGACTCTGATCTGGGAGAACCGGGTTTGATTCCCCACTCTTCCACTTGCACCTCCTGGATGATCTTGGGCAAGCCGTAGTTCTGATGAGAGCTGTTCTTGAAAAAGAGCAGTTTCTTTCAGAGCTCTCTCAGCCCCACCTACCTCACAGGATGTCGTTATAGGGAGGGGAAGGGACAGGAGTTTGTAAGCCGCTCTGGGACTC